TGGATTCGTTGAAACTGTTCAAAATCTGCTCGAAATCGGGGGATTTGGGAATGGCGGACATCCGTAAATTAGGAGACGATCCGTGGGTGTATTTGAAAGACAAGAATCCGACGATGGGAAACACGAGCCGACGAGGAGGTGGAAATATCAAAATTAGCTGTTTCAAAAATCAAGTGTTGGTGGGAAGAGAAGGAGAGTTGGAAGTTTGGTCGAGAATGGAAGGAGGAGAAAATGGCGTGGAAGAATTGAAAGGGACTGTCGACGATTTATACCGTAGGAATTATATGGACAAGGCGGAGGATTCAGAGCGAGGGATTATAGAGAAAATTGAAGGCGGCGGCGATAGGCTGTTTGTTTCCCGGGAAAATGTCGAAGGAATTGAGGTTTGGGAAACCTCCAGATCTTCCGGCGTCGTTTCAATTTTATGACTCAGAAACTCCTTATTGGTCTGTGTTTAGCGACGATTTTCATTGTTATTGGGCCTTAATTGGGCCCTTATTCTAGTTGAGATCAATAATTTATGGGCCTGCCATTGAACATTTGCTTTGAAGGTCTTTTCGGAAATAGTTTTTTGTTTTTACTTTTCAATTGTCATAACCAAACGAAAAATAACTCGCTCATTAAGATGCCAATCATATTCCATGTTTTTCACAAGGTTTTAAATATCAACGTCAATGGAAATACTAAAGCTTTAATTTCATAGAAATATCGATCTAAATATTGATAAAATATTTATGTCACATGAATATTTTTGTAAAAATTAGAGAAAGTAAAAAAAATTCGTAATAAATAAATATTTTTCTAATTTTAAATAAGTTAATTTGGTTAATATTAGTATTATGTATATATTAATAATATTTTGTTGATATTTTATGATTTATCCATCATATGATATCAAATTTATGGATGTATGGACATGTCGATAGAAATGATGGATTTTTAATATCATGGTTTTGCAAACTTAAGTTCACGTCAATGTAGAACTCTCTCTAAACAAAGCTTGAATGAAAAGTTTTCCTCAATTCTACAAATAAAATGCAAAGAATTGGGCATGCACTCTTTCTGGAATAATGTCAATCAAGTTGTCACGATCAAATTTATCCATTAAATTTTGGTCACTCAATATGTTCATCCGACTTTGTTCCTCCATGGATTTCAAGCATTATTAGTAAGTAAAAAAGTATATGTGTATGTATGTATGTATATATATATATATATATATATATAAATAAATAAATAAATGACAAGCGAACTACATCACAGGTCTACGACATGACCAGGCTCAAGGCATAAGTAGATCCAAGACATGACCAGGTTCGAGGCATGTCCAGATCCAAGACATGATCAGGTCTGAGGCATGACCAGGTCCAGGGCCCCCTGAGATCCCAGCTGACCAAGTCTAGACTGACCAAGTCCCAACCGACCAGATCTAAGGCATAACCAGGCCCGAGGCATAACCAGATCCAGGGCATGACCAGGTCCACGACCCTGCAAGATCCCAACCGACCAAGTCCAAGCTAACCATACCAAGTCTCGACCGATTAGATTCGACTACTGGAACGTCTATTGCAAGGCTATCGATCCCTTGATTCAACATTCAAGCACAATATGCTCACAGTCCAACAAGGTATATTTCTATAAATATAATGATAAGCCGAACCCTAAAGGTACATTGAAATACCCTACTTTTCATACTCGACTACTCCTATTCTGACTTAAGCATCAGAGCGGTATGACAAGAGCCACACTGACACTCAGTGTTATTTCGTTTTGCAGGTTTTATTGATCCCTTTTATTTTAGAAGATTGGTGCAAATTTGACGAAATCTCAGGAGGCTGAATTTATGCATCAACGAGATTGATTTATGATCAATGACATGCAATTATAGTTTGGTCCATCATTATATATTAAAAAAATTATACCAAAAAAATAATAGAGAAGGACAAAGTAAGGTAGCATATTTTAAATTATTGTAATCTCACCTAATTTGTTTTCAAAGTCATGCCGTATAATCTAAATTTTAAGAAATGGACCACCATATTCATTTCATTTAACTACTAATCCCAAAGACTAAAAGCTAAACATCATTGAAAAAATAAGTGGTAAATTCAATAATTTATTCGATTTATGTTAGAATATATTAACTACTTATTTCCAGTGATGTTATTAGCATTTTTACCATGGTTATTTATTACCTCGACTAATTATTTCCTTTACTACTATTTTTCATTGTATGTTTAATTTAATATTTATACACACACATGAGGAAATATTGATATAAAAATTATGTATTACAAATATTTCCCAATCAACAATACCAAAAAGTTATTTTTATAAAAATAATAAAAGAGGTAATATAGGGTTGTTTTAGAAACTTATTTACATAAATGTCTAAATTTTTATAATTTTACACCTTTAGATTTCTGCAGGTAGAATTTTAGTTTAATTCCGAATTTACCCCTACTTATTGCATTTTTATTTATTATAGTTTTTTGCTTTTTTGAAATATAAAATAGTTATTTCCATAAATTATGTCACAATCATTTAATTAATGTCGGCCTCATATTAATTGCCAATTCAAATCCTTTAATTCACTCCCCAAATCGTTCCAAAAATTGATTTTCTTTATTTACCAATATTATTAATTAAAAAATATCTAAATCTCATGATCCCCATTTCTTCTACATAAAACTAGAGATATAAATGATACATAAAACAATAGAACCAGAGATATAATATACTCGTATATGATTTCTCTGGTTCTCTGGTTCTATTTCCGTATTAAAACTAGAGATATGATATATATCCTATGGAAATAGAACCAGAGAAATCAGAACTATATACTCGTATATACGAACTAATTTAAACAATAGAACCATAGAGCAAGAGATGAACCTCGATTCTGTCCAAACTTGAAACCTAAATATAGCATAAACTACGGTACAATGGGAACCGACGGACTGAAATGCTCATGCGACGGAGGCCAGAGATGAAATTAGATGTTATCGTATAATGGAGCCGCTGGAGACGAAGAGAGACAACGACGATGTTACCGTATAATGGTAACCAATGGAATGAGATGCGACGGAGGTCGGCGGTGAAATGTTCAGCAAATAAAGAAATCAGAGCCGCCGGAGACAGCGACGATGTCGGAGAAATGATCGGATGCTTGAGAGGAAGAAGAAGCCCAACAGTCGGAGTAGTGAAAGAAAATCAAGGGAGGAGAAGGAGGTTACAAAATTTTGGGAGTTTTAGGATTTTTAATTTTGGAAGGTTGAATTAGCACAATTTTAGGGATTTAATATATTTTAATAATGATTTACCAATTTCCTATTTTAATAATGATTTAATATTGATATGGATATATTAATAATTTTTGTTATGGGTACCATCTAATTTCAGAATTATTTTAGACGAAATGTAAATTCTATACTTTGTACGTAATGAGGACTTCTAAATAGACGAGTAGTAATCCCAAAATAAAAAGAGGGAAAAAACCAAAAAAGTACATGGGTAATGGGCCATTGGCTATAATGGCCCTAAAGACCCGGAAGAGAAGATGTTGACTGGGCCGAGCGCCCAAAATCTTACACGTGTTAAACCGTGGAAGGTCACTGGACCGGGGGCCCAAATCCCACACGTGGGAGGATGTGGCACGTGCCACAGAATTATATAATATCTGTTGTCACTGTCTGTATGGGATCGCTTTGGCGGCAATGATCATTATTCATTTCCACAAAACCCAAAAGATAATTCCTTCGCGATCATATATTTATTTATATTCTTTCTTCCTATTTATTCTTTTAAAAAAATAAAAAATATCGCTCACCGGTTGTAGCCGGTCAAAGGTCGCTCTTTCGCGGGCTCGTCATCGTGTGGCGGCAAAATTTGCGTGTGTTACTGGTCCTTCCGGTTGCTCAAATCAATTTCCTTCTCTCCTCGGGTTCGAATTCAACTCTGGTTCTTTCTTTTGAACTGTTATCTCTCTCTCTCTCTCTGAAAAATCTTCAGTATTGATTCTCTGTTTTCTTTCCGATACCTTTTGGATCGGACGGCGTGGTTCCTCGAAGGTAATTGATTCTCTGCTTTCTAGATCTCTTCTCTTCTTTGTTTTCTCAGTTTTTTAGTTCCAGGTTTCCTCTAGTTCTGTTTGTTTGCGTGCAAATTTATCATCAGTTGAAGCTAATTTGTTGTGATTTTGAGGTTGTGTTCGTTTTCTTTTCCTTTAATTCTGTGGAAAATTATCGTTGTTGAGCTATATATGTTGTGTTTTTGTTTGTTTGTCTTCTTAATAATTGTTAGTGGAGTTGTTTAACTTCAACGGATGAGAGAACTGAAGAAAGAAGTAGCAGTAGGAATTAAGAACTTGAGTTTTGTTAAGTCAATTACATTTTAGGTTTCTTCTTCACTCTAATACTCAATCAGCGATTAAACAAGTGATTTTTCATGGTTGTAATACATAGGAATCTACCGAGTCTGCTTGTTCTTATTCCTTGTATCTTTTACTGTGAATTTTCCGTAGCTTGGGGATTATTGTTTGTCAATTTTAGAGATGGCTTTTGCAATTGAAATTTAGGGATTTTAGTCTCGCTTAGGTCTCTTTATTATTATTATTTTTTTAAAGGTTCGGTTAGGTCATTTATGTTCAAGAACATGTATACTATTACAATTGGCTATCACTCGATTTGTTTGCTTCTGGATGTTCATCAATTATTACGTATCGTGTATATATATATATATATGTTTCTGTAAGAAAAAGAACGGTTTCTAGAGGTTTACTTTCACTGCATTTCTGTCCTTTTGACATGTACTTTTATATTAGATACCGTGTTTGATTGATTCCTATCCAGGCTGTTTGAGGTACTGCTTTTCCTTATTTTCCTCAAATTGTTCTTGTCATGATTCTTGTGCGTGTAGGCTGTTGTTTTTTGAACTATTGGACTTGTAATAACTGGCCAGGATTATTATTCTTCTACTCAACTCGTAGTTATTCCGACAGGTATTTGCCTTGCATAATGAAGGGGTCCAAGGGTAAGGGAACATCAAGGGTCTCGAAAGAAGCTTTGAAGCCAGTGGATGATAGGTAGCCTTTTGTTCATTGTTCCACCACGAATTTCATATCTTTTTGGACTGATAATATAAGACCTTGTAATTGTTTAGTTATGAATATCTGTGATCCATATGATTAGTATTGGTAGCTTGCTGACATCTATTTTCAGTGTATCGAATTTCCATCAAGTTTACGAGTTCTGTTGATGTCTAATAATATCTACACACTTGATGGTGTATACAGTGGTTACAGGAATTTTGTAGTGACGGATCATAAATATCTCTATTATTTTCAGAAAGGTTGGGAAGCGAAAGGCTGCCATTAAGGCTGACAAGAATAGCAAACGACCAACAAAGAAGGATTTGAAAGCCAAGAAAGATCCCAACAAACCTAAGAGGCCTCCAAGTGCTTTCTTCGTTTTCCTGTTCGTATTTGGTTTTTACTGTCATTTCAGGCTGAAAACTACCTTTTCGATTTCTTTTAGGAAGAAAATCTTCTTAATATTGTTTAAATTTATGTAACAGAGAGGAGTTCAGAAAAGAGTTCAAAAGGGACAATCCTCATGTGAAGGCAGTATCTGCAGTACGTAACCAGTGAAATTGGCCTAAAGATGCCCACAACTTGATATGCAAATATAGAGTAAATTATTGACATTTTCCCCACATTTTCAGGTTGGAAAAGCTGGAGGAGAGAAGTGGAAATCCTTGAGTCATGCTGTAAGTATCGTCATGTATTACATAAAAATTGAAGCAGCCTTAAAATGATTGCCCTCATTTCCTTTTTCCTCCATGTATAATGTTGATGAATGGAATTCTGTTTCCAGAGGTTTTATGTTAAATTGGTGCTAAATCTTGGAACTTTATCTTGCCTTTGGATTAGGGTCACTGTCAATGATCTCGCATTGAATATCACATTTGATTTTTTTCTTTTCTTTTACCTGGACTCGGTCTCGGTCTTTCTTCTGCTTCTGTAATGGCATTTTCTTACTATCAATGTTGGGCAATATTCCATTTTAACTATACTTCTTTATTCTTGATCGGTTCTTAAGTTTATTTATTGGGTCTTCTCATTGAAAACTAACTTACTGGATTAAAAAGGAAAAAGCACCCTACGAAGCCAAGGCGGCTAAGAAGAAGGCTGAATATGAAAAGCTTATGAGGGCATATGACAGCAAGAAGGTAGGCATGCTCTGCATTTTGTGTATAAATTTATAAAAGAATGTGTTTGGCTAGCTTTTTGAGGGGAAAAAAAACTATTTCTAAGTAAAACACTTATTATATATAACACTTTTCCAGTTAAATGTTTCCTCTCAAAGCACTGACGTACTTTTTTTTTATATATTTTGAAAATTTCTCAAACCATTTTTATCATTGGAAATTGTAAAAGGCACTTTTTTTTTCACTCTTTAAATTCTTAACCAAACACTATTAATTTAAAAAAAAAAAAAACACTTTTGATCATCAATTACCACTTCAAAAGAGTACTTATATACTCTTCTTTGAATGGACAGGCCAGTGACGAAGAATCAGAGAGGTCGAAATCTGAAGTGAACGATGAGGACGAGGCCAGTGAGGAGGTATTTTTAATGCAAATGTGATACTTGTACAGCGTTTCAGTGCATAATAAGCAAATTCAGATTCTTTTTGCTGTTTTTCTTGCTCATATTTCATTTTAAAATATAAACCTCATTGTTCGAAGTTGGAAAGTAAAAAGAAGTTTATATTCTCTTGAGAATCTTAGCAACTGGCAGCCTGATTTGGAAAATGCCCACCGCAATTAACAAGAATGCATTAGAAGGCATGGATTTGGTATATAATATAAGTTATATATATATATATATATATATATTCTGTTTCCCAATTGAAAATTGTCACGACCGATCAGTTTACTACTGCTGCTTCATGATCGAGCAAATTGAAACTGGAATGTGATTGAGAAACGCTTTCAAATCATCCAAAAAATACTTTCCAGCTATACCTATTTAGTTTATTTCCCAGACTATGAATCATTTCCCTCATCTATTTGCAGGAACATCAAGATGATGATGATGATGCAGAGGAAGATGATGAAGATGACGAAGATGAAGATGATGACTAGATTGAAAAACAGCTTTCTGACACTCACAATGGCCGACCCAGCTAGAGGGAGGGACTAGCTCATGTATGTTCATATTTAGAACTTGTGTGCTTTCTTTTCTCTCTTCTTTTGTATTTGTGTAACATGAAAGAAGTGCCGTATGGCGCTTCCCTCCGATATCTTACTGTTTAAATGGTGGTCTCGACACTGCTCACATCGCTTTTGTCGTACACATAGTTAAGATCTCTGGGTATTCTGGCCATGTGATGACGAGGTAAAATTATCAAATACCATCTTTTGGAAGCTGTAGATCAAGTTCAAGAAATGGGGTTTGTTTCTTTTATCAAACTTTTAGAAAGAGATCGTATGAGCTTCAGCTGGATACGACTATAATTAGATGATCGTTGATTTACATTAGTCCATGACTATCACATTAAATAAAGGAAATTACTATGATTAATATCACCATAGATTTTTCCAGGATTTACCATATTTAAATATTTGCTATATCTACAATTATACACATTTACAAATATTTTCAAAGGAGACTATCTATTATAAAATTTCTCAAAATGGTTATATATCTTAAAGTCAAATTTTAGAGAATTATTTTTGTTGAATGATTTTATTTTAATCACTAATTTTATAGGGAAAAAGAAATTAAGTACGGAGGTCGACTAGACTGTAAGAATCCTTTGGAGAGGTTTCTACAGAAAAAAAAAAAAAAAAAAACCGTGTCTTGTCCAAGACCTTGATTTGATGGCAGACAAGAGAGAGCACTATTCTCAAACATCAAAAAGAAAATGATTCATCAATAAATTAATTTCTAAAAACAGAAAATGAAAAAGTTATCAAATTCATGACTAAATAAACCAAGGGCTTTCATGTCCATTTGAAATGGAAATACGTGCAACTTCAAAAGAAGTATTATGTTTTCCGTTCCCTACAAATTCCATGTAATGCCAATTGTCTTATGACACAATAGCACCATCAGCCGAAAAGGACGAGTTACCAAATCAGATTTGCTACAAAACTGGATAAAGGCTATTTCAACCATATATATATAGTTTAAATAATATTTAAGCTGTTGTATTTTCTACCTCGATTCAATTTGGTTCCTCAACTTTTAATTTTTGTTCATTTTAATCCATAACTTTCAAAATACTAATTTTGATCCTTGTACTTTTAAAAAGTGACAATTTTGATTTCTTTATTTTTATTTTGATATCATTTCTTTTTATCACAATTTTATCATGGCACTCCACTCACAACATTTGGTATAAAATTCATGTTAAAATTTTACAAATAGGAATCAAAATGGTATTGGTCGCTTTTAAAAGACAGGAACCAAAACAGATATTTTAAAAGTATAAGGGGCTAAAATAAACTAAACTTGAAATCAGAAATACCAAAATGTAAGCTATGAAAGTTCGGGCCAACCCAAAAAAAAAAAATCAAAGAAAGGAAATGTTACGATTTTGGTGGACCGACTTTTGAAGGTAGAGGGGAGGTTTCCGCATTCAGGGTCATAGAAAGGCAGAAACTATTCAAATTTATGAACCACTGAAACCTGAAAGGTCAACAAGTATTAGACTAAGAAACATCTATTAAGACATTGTTTGGTACCTTCAAACTCAGTTGATGTGTATTCCATCCAGCTCCCTCTAACAGTTGCATAAACTCATTAAACTTATCTTCCATCTCTGATAGGCTTCGTGCAAGCTGGGCCATGATGCTTGCCGAGGCGTGCCAGTGCTCGTCGAGCCAGTAAGTCTGCCAAATACTCCGTAAGACAGACATGCTAGTAGCACCTACCTGTAGAGAAGTATTTAGAAGTAGCCATTGCAGAACAGGAATGATCTCCATGTGATTTTATGCGTACCTTGAAAGAAACAGAGACTTTCAAGTCTTTATCTTGTGTGTTCAGCATGAGAATGTATTTCTCCTTGGCATATAATTTCAGAAGTTCCATCACCTACACGCAAAGGAAAAACACTGCAAATTAGTATCATTTTCAATAAGTTATGGAAAGGCGTGTATGCAGTCATCTGCATTTAACCAAACCATCCCCCTTTAAGATATCGAGCAACCTTTTCAAGATTTTTTATTTTTATTTTAAAGGTACCAAGCTTTGATTGAGAAGGTACCAAGTACCAACCTTGTCAAGTTGCTTTCACTTTATGTGGGATATTCAACATATATTCAACATATACTGAAGTTAATGGTTGAAACACACAGAATTGGGAGGGAAGTGGGATGTAGAAGAATACCGTGGAAGAAGATCTCTCACCGCCCATCATCTCCTCCAACGATACACCGAAGATAATTGCTGGCCTTGTAAATTTTTCCCACAATAATATGTTTTCTTCGGTGTTGCAGTCAACTGTTCCTGAAAGACACCTAAGACGTGGATCATTCTTGTGGTGTGCAATAACTTGCCAGTGGAAGGAGAAAAGGTGGGGTTTTGCCATTTAGGAATTAGTTTTAACAATGTTGTGAAGAATATGAGGTAACAAAAAAATGAAAACCCAGAAGCTCATTAGAAGTGCATAAAAGAAGGCATTTGAAAACCAAATATCAACAATAGACTAATTCCTAAATGGTGAAATAATCATCAAAACTACAAATTTCTCCCAATAGTGTGAATGAAAACAAGAAACATAGATGGGCATACTTGAGGGAAGGGGCAAATTTCAAAGAATCTCCAGAAAAATGGCAAAAATTCTCTTGGACAACATCGACAGCTTGGATCTCAATTACCTGGTACTTTGTTGTGCACAATGTGAGCCCTCACTAAAATACGAGCGCGCTTCAGGTTTATCTGTTAGAAAAAGTAAAATAATGACTTGGTACTGAGATATACTTCAAGATAAAACCAGCACTTTTTCATTCCCCATTTATTTCCCAAAACAGAATAGAAACCTAAGAACTCCATTTCCGTGTGTGCACAATATAATCTGAGTTAAAATAATCTCCCAGGAAGGATATCTTTCTTTTTCTTTCTTTGAAAATTGGGAAACAAACTATACTTGTCATACTCTTACAGTGTTAAAATGCAAGACAGCAAGTGATTGATACCGCAACCAAAGATGAAGAAGCCGCATGCTAAACCATGTCATTGATAACACTGGATATGAATTTACAAGTCCTGGTGTATCCTAGATTGACAATAAGAAACCCAGTTTGTTCAGCAAAACATGAGGTCGTTGGTTGCTGGCTAAAGTTGCATTCAGAAAAATACAATTTTCTGAAAGACGCACCAAGATTAGGATGCCTAGGGCAAGACCAAGCAGCTGCGCGACTACTTCCCAAACTTCCTCCTGGTACATTGAATTAAATAGCAAAACTTATGATGAAAATATCTGAAAATGACTTACACAACTCTATTCCTAATTTATTTCCAAGTAAATATACTATGCCCGGAATGAGGCAGTAGAATAATGTAAGTGAACTTCAAATTACAGTCTATGCTTTTCTTCATTGGACTGCCAGGTTAATCTCTAAACCTTCTGGTACATTCTTAAAATTGTAAGTGGGCAGGTGTGTGATAACACGTTTAAGGACACCTTAAACTACTAGGAGTGAACTTTATAGGTGTTGCAAACACAACCAAATGTTTAAATTTTAGGATTTGGTGACTGATATATCGGTTGCCTCTTTGTGCCTTTTTGGGTAGATGTAAAGATCAAATTCAATACTTTTGCATCCTAAGTTAATTCATTAGAAAAATATTTGGTTCTTGAATAACCTCATACTCATATAAGCATTTTACATGACAGAGACTATAGGAGAATTAATTATATATACTACTTATACCTTTGCTGCTATCTCTCCCAAATTTCCCGAAACTGCAAAATGGTATTGAATAACTCGAAACGAAGGATCTTTCAGTCCTCTGGCAACAGCCTACACAGTTTCAGAATCAGGTCGAACATCAATTATTACTGTTGCAGAAGTTTCAAACTCCTGGAAAGTTGAAAGGTTTCAATTATCATAATATTGCTTTCAGTTTAAATGGTAAATGCATAATTATAAACAATATAGTTGGGTACTTCTATGCACTTCTACATATTTTGTAATCAGAAGATACAACACTAGCAGTGTAAGATACCTTGGCAAGATTTCCAAGAGAAGCCAATGGTAGAAAATAGTTAGGGTACAACGGAGTAGCAAGATCAAAGATGCTGCAGGCAATTACAATTAAAGATTTTACAGTTTTAATAGTAAATCAACAATCAGTTGACAAATAGAGAGCTTGGGAAATGACACCTTCCTGCACTGCCAATGAAGTCTGCATACATGCGCCATTGTTTTGGATCATCATCAAAAAGATTACCAAACCGTCCACCTGGAAAGGATGGCAACACTCACTGAAAAAATCAACATATAACCTTCCATATTTTTAGATCTCTTTATGATTCCAGACCAATGAATAAGCGTCCAACAGCTCCAATGCCATCCTTAGAGACCCATCTGCTCAGAGAATAAAATATACATTCGAGTCTATTAAAAGACTAGATTGGCGTACAACAGTTTGAATCTTTCAAAAAAAAAAAAAAAAGAACGACTGCATGGGTACAATACATGCCAAATGATTATTAGGTCTCTTATGTGTGCGTATGCAAGTGTTACATAGATAAGTTCAAGGACAAATCTGTCAAGGAGAATGCCAGCCAAAATAAAAATGTTATGGGAAAACTTAGAAACCTGATGGCAGCAGCAGAAGCTGCTGCAGTAGTTCCAGAGAAGGAGCCAATACCAACTGCCTGCAAACAGTGAATAAAGGGGTGGAATAAATAATGTTAACCTTTTTTTTATATACCATTTTGCTAAGAGAACCATGTTATATAGAATGGAAACGTACTTTTGGCAAGACTAGAATTTGAGTTCTTAATCATCTAACAACTATGCTGAATTATGACTAAATTATTGTACCTTCAGGAGACTGGATGTGACCAACGTGTGACAGATCCATCCAGTAATATTAGTGGGGAACTGGAGTATCATGTATTGCAAGTAATCATCTGAAACTGATTCTGCAATGAAAATAATAACAATGTAACAGAACAGGAATACATCTAATTGGATGAATCAACGTAGAACCCAAATATTCTTCCTTAGAAAACAGAAATTAACAAAAAAGTTCAATGAAGAAATTATCAACAGGAAAAGTCCACGCATTACAGTATAGGTACCTGGGAATCCTGCGGGTAAAATAAAATCTTTTATGAGATCTGTAAGCCAGGATAGTTTTGTTTCAGAAAAATGAGATCCTTCAAAGCCATTGGATGCCGGAGATATTTGATCATCAATAAAATATTGCAACTGCTGGTTATCATCTAGTATATACCTGTTCATGGAACCAAATTTCACGAAATGTAACTATTATTTGAAGTTTTCTCAAAGAGAAGGAAAGTCCAGCAGTTCTCAAAGTCTATGAAGTACGCGGATTACATTTACAAGATCTTCAATATCTCTATTTTTCTTTCCTTCGACAATAATTAACTCTCAATCATCAGCTTTATTCTAAAGTAAATTTGAACCTCAATCCGCAGAGAGCCTATGGCACGGTTTCTAAATCACATGGAATGAATCTAACATACATAAAAACAAAACAAAACCATAACTTTAGGAACGAGAATATATTTCTCTTCTAAAAGAATTTGGTAAAATAAAGTAGAGGAATAATTACGTAAAAAGTAAATATCACTGACTTCTTCACAGTGCTATTTCCGAATTTCTCGACCAAAATTACTCGCCGCTGGCTACTTTCTCTGCAGCAAGGAAAAAAAGAGGAAGAAAGTAATAGAATCAGATTGCCAACACTCAAACACCACGAAAATGTACAGAAACATAAGAATTGCGATGGAATACTATTCATTATTCATAGCATTATCACTAAAAGAGCAACAATAACATCCTCCTCTAAATCGATACTTTCTTTCGCCTTTTGAGACACTTAATGGCGGAAAACGATCAAGACTTCAAAGCACTCGAAACATTTCGGAAAGCAGCAATAAATCAATAGAAAACTATGTTCAACTTCTCTTCATCCCTTAATATCCACCAATTTTAAACAACAAAAACGGAAGAATGTAGAACAAAAATCTCGTACCCGCCACAATCGACACCGTTCTTTCCGTCGTCTTCTCCATCCGGAAGGTCGGTTTGGTTACAGAAAATCTGACGACGATTTCGCAGTCTTCTCAAGCTTGGAGATTCAAACGCGCAAGTAGGCAATGAGAGTTGCACAGCGCAAGACATGCGGAGAGAGCGGTTTCTGAAGCTAAGCGACCTGATAGAGCTCCTTTCTTCAGCTCCGTCAACTACAAACGAAGAGAGAACATTCGCAGAGCGATTCTGTTGGTGGTTGTTTGGTTCGTCAATTTCCGCGCGGTGATTGGCGAAGACGACCTCTCTATCCTAATTCTCCGGGCCTTTCCATGTGGCCCAGATCAATATTTGACGGCCTGTTCTAAAAGCCCACTACAAGATAGCCCAAATTATAGAAATAGGCCCGGCCCAATAAGTTTATCACATACCCTTTAATTAGGAGTAGTTTACGTATTTGCCCCAAAACATTTGGTTGTTTCACATTACCCCTTCAGTATGATTTTTTTCATATAAAATTTTCGTATTCCAACAATGATATTATTGAAATATTCAAATTTTTAAGTACAATTAGTTTCTAATATGAGCTATGAAGGATGAGAATCTGTTTCAAAATAATAATCATAATGATAATGAGAACATAAATTATATATACTGTTTTTTTTTAATGAATATATGCTTTTTATTTGACCGTAACCTAAAAAGAATAAGCATGAAAATGCCACTATTCAAGAAAGTGCTAGAATATTGTTTTTTAATTCACATTTTGTTTTTTAAGTCAACTTCCATCTGGATTTTTGGTTAATAACTAAAGCACAAGACTTGAGATTTGTTTTCCAAACATTTTTATTAAAGCATGAACCTCCAACAAAAAAAACAGCTCAATTTCTATGTAAAATTCATGAGGTTTAAATACTCTTTTGGTCTCTATATTAGTCTATGTACTTTCGACTTTGATTCATTTTTATTTTTGTACTTTTTATTTTTGTACTTTCAACTTTCAATCATTTTAGTCATTGTACGTCCATCCCGATCTATTTTTTTTTAAAAATGATCATTTTGGTTTCTATTTGTAAACTTTTATCACAAATTATAAAAATCATAGAAACCTTTAATACAAATTTGTGGTTACATTTCATAAATTCAGTAATAGAAGTGTCATGCTAAAATTTTGATTGTAATAAATGAGATAAAAAAATGAATCAAACTAGTCACTTTTTCAAAGTATAAGGATCAAAATGAACGTTTGAAAGTATAGAGACTAAAATGAACAAAAGTTGAAAGTATAAAAATCTAAATAGACATTTTCAAAGTACGATAACTAAAATGAACTAAAGCCGAAAGTACAGGTATTAAAATAGTATTTAAATCAATTCTGGGGGAGGAGAGCTGGTTTCTCATTCAGATAAAAATGAATGGTTGGCATAACATATCTTCTCACTCAGATAGAAATGAATGCTTCGCAGTTGGCAGAACATTATATGATCTATCATTGAAGGAATCCAAAACTAAAAACCATATGTCAGAAGGCAACGGTTGAGAAGCTAAGTAAGCTAAAAACAAGTAGAATTGTGGGGAAAAAGAAAGAAAAAAAACAAAGCTCAAGAACAAATAGTAGCATCTCAAAACTTTCTAGCCTAATTTTCCTTGGCAGGTGGATATACCAAAAATATTTGCCTCTCCTAGAGCCGCATTTCTCTTTCACAAAATTGGAAATGCAGTAAACAATGACTAGAGACTGTAAAATGACACAAAACTTCAGGATCATTCAATTACTCGTGGTTTGGCTTTTCTCTTCTCACGATTATCTTCAACTATTTGCTGAAGCTCCTTTTCACTGGTAGCTATAAGACGCTTGACAAAGTCGTACACCGTGAGCCTGATGCTGCAGTAAATTAAAAGAAGTAGAGGATTACTAGCTAACAAGAGAATTCAAATGACCAGTGTTTGAAAGTTTAGGGACGTGACAAAAAATTAAAGTTAAATTTCAATTTGGCCCGTAAACTTTCATAGTTGTGTCTAATAAACCCTTGAACTTTAAAAAGTGTCTAATGAGTCCTTAAACTTTCAATGTTGCGTCTACTAGGTTCTTAAACTTTAAAAAATTTATACTAATCCTAACCTATGTTGCATCTATTGGGTTCTTAAACTTTAAAAAATTTATACTAATCCTAAACTTACAATTTGTGTAAGAAGGCCCTTGATCTATCAAACATTTTTTAAAATTAAGAGACATTAGACTGTTTTTAAAATTGAAAGACCTATCAAGAAATTTTTTAAAGCTCAAAAAACCTATATGACACAATTTTAAATGGTCAGAGACCTATTAGACCATAACCTATTAGACACTTGGAAGTTCAAGAACCAAACCACCAGTAAAATTAACCAAAAATATTAACTAAAATTAGTTGCATAGTTGTATATATATGATAAATGCTGGATTCAAATGGGAGACTTCAGCAAAGCTTTAGAAACAAGGTATCCAAATCCATGCCTAACTTTAGCATGGAGCAAATAAATGGTGGATTAAACACCATGGAACCATTCGGCTGCTTAAATCCTCAAAACCTGTACATGCCGTTCTCTAAAACCAAAAACAATCTCAAATAAGTACTCTGGACTTTCAAGCATTGACATCACGAAGAAAATAGACATCTAAAATCCGTTGGAAAATTTTCCTGATAGTGCATAATGACGTCAATTCAAGGGAAGCAATAATATGTTTTTTTTTTTTTAAGAAACTATTTCACTAATAAGTTGAAATATGAATACAAAATGGAGAGAACCCGATAGAGGGGTTACAAAAAACTCTCCAATTAGATAACAAGGAGGCGAAACTATAGAGATGAAAGAGAGGAGATATACCAAGAAACATGAAAACTATGGACACAAAAATATGATGAGGAGACCGCTCCTTATAACAAGGCTAATAAGGCATAAAAATCTGTATGTAGATTGTAGAGCAGTAGAAGCACATATAAATGCATACAATAGGAGTGAATACCAACCTGCTGTTTGGAAGCGTCTTCAAAGCATTTGGAACAAAACCCCTATACAAGCCAACGACTCCATCATGTGCAATGATACCTACATCATTGATGACAATCAAGATAATTCTTTCCGGTAAATTTCAATTCTTGCACATTAATAAATCATTGCCTGTGAAAAAGCTTAAAAGATACAGTTATTCCTGCCTGTCATTTTAATTTTTAACTAATACCTGAGAAGGCTTCCAAAACTGTCTTGTAAGGTGTGCCCCTCATCTGCATCTGTCTTCTCACAGTGTCCAAAGGATAACATGTTAGTGTGGCGCAGGAAGCTGATATCAAGGCTGTTAGTAGAGATGTTTCAGTTCTCTTTTGAACTTTCTCTGGCAAAGACTTCTTCAATCTGGATGGAAAAAGAAAGCCTATTTATATAAAATCTTAAATTCCATGCAAATCTTAAAGCATATGGAGGATCTGATGGACTCACAAGTCAAAAATGCAGAAGTTTACAGCAATGTAAGGAGCTATGCCAATAAGGGAAGGTCCAAGGCCATAGTAGAAGGATGCAATGCCTTCCTCTTTTAGCATATTCAAGGCAACCTGAAAATGATACAGTTTTCATCTTGATATGGGATTTAACTCTAATAATTGGAACAAGCCGGTTAATCATACCTCAGACATAGTTCGGCAACCTGGTTCAACTGCTAACCGTAATCTTAGGACATCTAGTGGGTATGTAATCTACATAGAAACATAAAGCACCATTTGAGAGAAATTAGAATGACACGTCACACCGAACAAGATTACAAAATCGAGAATAATTATAAATTTATTTTAAATGTATTAGTATTACTAGAATAGTAGAATTAGATTCCCGAAATGCATGGATATTAACGACAAGGATGTTGCTAATGTTATAAAATACAAGAGCAGAGCAATAGCAAGTTCAAGGCATTGCTTACAAAAGTAGATGTCATGCCGGCAGAAGCACCAGCAGCAAGTCTTCCAAGCACAGATAGTTCACCATCTTTCCCCCTAAAGATTTTCTGCGAACTCAAATATTAGAAAGGCATTAAAATCACAGGGAACATACTAGATGTTCATGTAACATTTAAAGCTTGCTTATAGTGTAATGTAAGACATACCTTGTAAATTTCATAAGCAAATAGCTGGACAGCGCTATAAGGTATAACACGTATGACCTGGAATATTTGTAAAGGAACTATAACAAAATCATAACTCAAAATCTTCATCAGTACAATAGAAGAAAGTAAAATTCTGCACCACCAAGCACCAACTGGTAATTTCAGGACAAATACCTGAGGGAGGTTGCCCTTCCAGTAACCTTTAATTCCTTCATCCCTACCTATAGTTGTTATTGCCTGCAGTTGAACCCAAGGTATGACGGACCATGTAAACATGAAAATTTTGTCAGAATGATAGAAGATAACGGATAAACCTAGTGAACCACAGAACTCCAAAATTTGTCTTTTGTAGACTATAACTCTCATCAAATTCCCTCAGTCATTTCTACCATTTTTTTAAAATTGGAAATTTGGAATTGATTTGAGATGGTGTGCCTCTCCCCATGCTCAACCTTGAACACCCTATCTCTGCCACCATTTTATTCATTCTCCCTCTTTCAATTACCCAAATTTGGATCCAAGATGTTCCAACCCCACAGATAAATATGTAGGTTCCTCTAAAACAAATGTCCCAAGAGTCATATATTTAACAAGTACTGAAAAGCGGTCTTCCATGCTGTCCTTAGGAGATAAGTATAGAACAATTGATCGAAATGTGCTTCATCAATGTCAAGTGTGAAAATGATATCAAGTGGTAATTGTCCTTGGATTTTAGCATGTAATTGATGAAATTTTTTCATTTTCCAACTAACTATGTACGACTCCAAATTATACCTTATGTTCATCATCTTAATCTACTAGCTACAGCTACATTTTAGCTCGAGGTATGCCCTGTCAACATCAGGCTTTGCTATATGAAATTAAGCCTTTAATTCAAGCAATCTCATAAATATCATCGCGTTATAACAATACAAGTCTATAACAGCTTATGGGGCAGCGCAAGAAGACCAATAACATGTGAGAAACTCTGCTCCAAAGCGATATACAACTAACCACTCATAGCCATACCTCAATGAAACCAATTGCTTTCTTAGTGCCTTCATGCGCCACTCGCACTCCATGAGTCTGCAAGTAGATCAAATGAATCAAACTATCAAGTGAAAATTTTAATATATATTATTAGAGCGTGAGGTCCTAAGTTCAAATTCCACATGTTATTTCTGCGTCATTTTGTATTAATAGCCCACATAATAATATTGAAGTTCACAAAATGAGTAGGTCGAGAAAGTCTAATTTTACCCCAACCTAAGACAAACATTTGAGTCTAACAAAATCACATAGGAGAATATTCCATTGTTGGAAACCATAATTTCCCCAACTAAAACAAAACTGCCTTCCACAAGAATGAATTTAACAAAATCAAATAGTTTCGAGTCGGTCAATTTTGCAAGACAAACCAAAAACTAGCAGTTCCCTTTCCACATGCAAGGTGTAACTACGCAACCCGGTCAAACGAACTCTGGAATTAAAATATGAGGAGTACAAGATATATGACTGACAGAATTAAGAAGAATCACGCACGACTCGATCGAAAACGACTGAAATTCTAGATGTCACTAGCCATTATTTGAGAACGAGCAGACAGATAGCATTAAACACGAACAGAAAATAACGACATCATTATCCTCGATTAGAAGTTGCAGAACATGAAGCAGTTGAAGAACACACCTGCATAAGAAGCTTGATACGGTCGAGCGGAGCCGTGACGGTCTTCGCGGCAGCACCGGCGACGGCGCCGGCGGCAAAGAGCGCGGCGTCTTTGGGCACCAACGCGAGCAAGGCCAGTGGATGCGTCAGGAGCTGAGACGGAGACGGCGCGAACTCGTGTTGGTCTCTCTTCTCCACAACCGAAATGCACGCAAATTTGCAGCGAACGCGACGGCAATCATGGCTGAGCTGCACCTTATTGCTCCATAATCCTTCGGAGATATCGGCGGGAGGTTGCAGAGAGGCTCTGAGGGTTGGGATATTCCGCCATACCAGAGCGGCCTTGTCTTCCTTTCTTGCGGGTTTCGCCATTGGAGAGAGATCTGTTTATTGGAGAGGGAGCAAGAAAAAGATAAGATATGCCGCGGGAGAGACAACAGCAGAGAATTTTGCTCTCAATTTTTTGGAGTGAAGTGATTGAAATTTCTCCTCTCTCTCAAAGTCCTCCTCAGGCTCAATCTACCCAAAAATGTTCGTACCACCATTGTCACTAACTTACAATTTTGTTTATAGGTTTAAATCTTTATGAGAATACACAAAAATTCAATTGGTGTCTTTTTTAATAATAGTTAAAGTTAAATTTAATATTTAATATGTATTTTCAAAATGTTATAATCTTTTAATTTTCTAGACAAATGTATCATAATTTTTTTTTTTTTTTGCAGCTTGACTTTGATTAATATTATGTTATTTTTTAAAATTTTAAATTTTATATATTTGTTTTATACTATTTATATAAATATCTGATTTCAAAATTGTATTTTTTAACCAAAAAAAATATATGCAACAATGGACAAGTAAACATGTGACTTAAAATATTAACGACCAACGAGTGTAATTACTCAATTGAGTTCATCTGAAGTGATGTCTAAAAAGTGATACGAATCAAATCGTTCAAGTCAAGCCAATCAAACTACATCCGACCAAGTCGAGCCAAAGGTAGCAAGCTACTTGTGAGTTGACCTTGACATATATAACTCCACAATTTACTAAGCGCCGATAAAGTGAGATTCTCTCTATAAATAAGAGAGGAGGCTCTGTTCATAAAGTACATTTTCACACTCTATTATTTGTTGTGTGCAACTAAACCATTGTTTGACTTATATGTTAAAGTGTGTTGCGCCTTAACACCAATGTGTATATCTTCTCGTACGTAGATGTTCGTTCGGAACTTCTTGCATTGGAATCTAGATCTAAATCCTACCTCAACAATGAAAACTATAGACCTAAATCCAGTCTTTTTCTACACTAATCTGTTTGTGGATATTACTTTGGAAGATCCCCTCCCCTTATTGGGGATGGTCACACGTCTTTTAGCTTAATTAAATTTCTAAATCCTCAACCATAGAACTTGGGATGATATGTCCGTTGTCACTATTTATTTGAATTAGGACCTCGTTTACTTACTCGCAATTGTAATAGGAATGAATCAGTATGAAAATCAATCGAAATCGTAATGTTATTACTTTGATGTTGTTTACCAAAAATTTTCTAGAATCGTAATCAGAATTCTTTTGATGTTGTTTACCAAAACTGTCTAGAATCAAATCGGAATCATATATATAATAATTAATAGTATACTCATTTCTTCTTTTTAACTAATTTCAAATATATTATTGTGCTTATCTTTTTTTAATTACAATAATAATAAATTTTAATTTAATTTATTACTATATTATTGATGATAAATCTTTTTTATTATAACAATTTATTTCATATGAATAATTCAAATAAAATTACATCAAATTGAAGTAATTAAATTTATAATATTGATATAATAAAATTTATAAAATCACGTCAACTAAATTTTTTAGTTGTTAATTCATAAAATACATCTATTGATATTAATTAATATAAATTTATAATATCATATAATAAAATAACATCAACTAATAAAAATTGAAGTATAAATGGAGAAAAAATTATAAAAGAATAAAAAATTTAATTAAAAATTGTATGAGTTTAATTAATAGAGTCGAATGATAAAAATTATAAAAGTAATTATAATAAATATGCGGGGCCCACCGCATAAGGAATGAGATTGATGAGGTTGTAGGAGTGTAATGAGATTACAAAGTTTAAGATGAGTTCATATTTGATTCTATTCCTACAATTTTGTAAATACCGTCAGGGAATGGAAGTTTTCATTACAATTCCTTGATTACGATTGCGGGTAAGTAAACGAGACCTAGATTTCTAACAAAACCCACCTTGTAACTTAATTAATATGGTTTCCTCCGAAAAAAACTTAATTAATATGGTTGGTGGTGTCATCTTTTAATTTTAAATAATTGAAATTCTTATTATCCCGTTAATCCACTAACCTATCAATTCTTTATTAATGTCAGCCGGAGCATAACTCAACTGGTTAAGACACATATCTCTAACCAAAAGATCGTTGAGTTCGAATTTTCATCTTTGTTAAATTGAAAAAAAATTACTCAGCAGTATCTAACCCCTTTTCAACTAGTTAAAAAAAAAAAAATCAATTTAACATAAATGTTGGGATTGATAGAGATTCTAACCTCCAATCTTTTGGCCAAATAGTATATATCTTTAACCAATTATGTGTTATGCAACTATCAATATCTAACCTTTAAAGATATTTTTCATATCGAATGTATTGATTTGAGAAAAGTTTAACACTTTTTTTTCATGCAGTTTTGCTTAAACTTTAAAGGTTTTCGGGCACACATCTCTAACAACATAAATTAATTTAATTTATAGACGTGACAAACGATTTCTAATCAGTGATATTTTATATAAATAACATATTTTGCAGGTCAATTATATATAAATTTGGATAAAGTTTGCATTGATAGTGCAACTAGAGTCTCACATTAACTATGAAAGAGGAAGATGTATGGTATATAAATGAAATTAACCATTTTATACGTATAAATAATTTTTTTAAAAACTAAAAGTAAAGTTTGGAAGGTTTAGGAAGGTTTCAAATTGACCTCTTGAAGTGTGTTATTTTTTTCAATATAAAAATTAATAACTAAGTGAATCTTAATTATTAATTTTGTTTAAGCCACTGCAAATCATCGAGTCACATCAAAAAGGATGACATGTGTTAGTCATTTTAAAGTCTAACTACAAATATTACCATTACAAAGGTAAATGATTTGATTCTACCTTAATTAATTATTGAACTAAAAAAATATATACAATTTTCCTTTTATGTTAGATTTCTATATATTCCGCTTTGACGTGGATTTAAGATATATTGTAAATTTTAATTAAATGATAAAGATGTATTGAATCCTCTAAAATTACAGTGATCCGATTAAAATCGAGACCTTCTTTTAAAAAGGAGGGGAAAAAGAAAAAGACGAAGACCTAAAAAACAGAGGGAAAAATAAAACATCATTTTCATTACTTGAACTTACCAATTATTACAACGATCAACGACAAGAGCAGAAACAAGAAATCACCCCTTGTCCCACACTCCCCTATTTTCTTATGATACATTAAGAACTCCAAGACGTAAAAAAGAAAGATTAAAAGAAAAAGAAGACATAATTTTGATTGCAAATAATTAAGGGCCGCAGGTTGGCATGATTTAATTTTTACCCCAGCAGCTGTCTTCATCAAGCGCCCAACATTTGAAATTTCCCAAGCTCTCCGACAAGCAGGCAAAGTTGAGGCCAATTTGAAATCAAAGAATTCAATAAAAGATCCATTTGATTTTGTCTTTTTCTTTTGGTCCTTCTTCTCACGGAAATTTCAAAAGAAGTCCCTCTCCTTTGGGAATTGGCTGACACCCAAATACTTTAAACCTGCATCCAATTAATTATATATAAAGTTTGTTAAGTTATTTTAATTGGAAATCAGAAGGCCTACCTAATTAATTTAATTTCGGTTAATTGAGAAGGGAATTTTTTTTCACCTTTTAAGCTGTGAAGATTGCTTGGTTTGAAGATTGGATTCCCATGTTGGGAATTGGAGCATTGCTATCATCTGTGAGGAGGAAAAGACAGAGAGATATTAAGAAGATTGGTGCATATAATTTTCATTTAAGGGATAATTTTATATATTTGTTTAAGCTATATTCAAATTCGAAACTATCATTTCAATAGCTGAAAACTCTTTTTTCCTCGAAATCATTTATGTTTCGGAGAAATATAAAACTAAAACTACTTATACAATTTTAAGTTTGGCCCAAGTGCTTGACCCAGAAGACAGTTTAAAAACACTTTTAAAACTATCCAATTTACTTTAGTTCAAACTTATTTGTCTTAATTTTTACGCTCTTTTTTATCATAAAGAAAAACACTTTTAAGAGTACCCAACCAAAAATGTCAAAGGATTTGCTACTAACCATAATCTTTTTTTCCATAACCAAAGTGCTTATAATTAAAGTGGTTTAATTAAAAGCACTCCCAAAACATATTCTTCCCCTACAAAATTAAAGCGCTTGTTATACAAGTCTACATTCCCACCGATGTCTCTAGCATATAATTCTAACTCAAGCTACAAAAATTCAGACTTCTCCATCCTAAACAACGCAAAAATTAGACTTTCCAAATCCGAACCCGAACCCGAACATTTTAGAGAGAGAAAGATAGTCACCTGGTTGGGTCTTGGAGACAAAGAAGCAAGCAGCAATAATAATGTAGCACAGCAAAAGAATAAGGCCTTTAATATAGTGAGAGGTTCCATCTTGTAAAGTGAAGGCTGTGGCAATAATGGCCAGCCCAAGCGAGCCCGTCTCCATTATGTTGAAATTCAGGTCCATGTCCACTCCCATCGTCCACGCCACGATCACACACATTGGAATCTGAAATTATTATAATCTTCCGGGGTCAGTTTGAAATATTTCAACTTTTTCAGGGGCTCCAAATTAATATCCACAAACTACTGAAAAATAAGGTGCTTGAGGCCTTGAAATTTTCATTAATTGCATATTCTTACCACAAACAATGCAATTTGTGTCGCAGACCCCAAAGCAACCCCCAAAGTTATGTCCTGAAACAAACAAATTAAGCAGAAATTTAATGTGTGTTTTTAAAAGTATAACAAAATTTAAAATATGGCATAAATTTGGCCTTTTCTAGGGGGTTTTTATTTGAATTATATTATTTTCGTAAACTTTTTTGCTATATTTAAAAATACAAATTCATTTTACGCTCTCAAGATGAGCAAAACGTATTATTTTTCAAGATAATATCTTTTTGAATATTAAATTTTAATTCAAAGTGAAAAAAAAAAACTAACCAATTTATTTTTGAAAGCAAATATGATAGCTCCCGCGTGTTCAGCAGCGTTTCCAACAATCGGTAGCAAAATTATGCTAAGGAAACTCACTGACAAACCCCAAGAAGTTGATGCTTCCTGCAAAAAACAAGAGTTATTTTTCTACTAAGCTAACGAAAAATAACATAATAAATAGTGCATTACAATATTTATAATAACTCTTTTTTAAAATTTATTCAAAATAAAAGTTTTAATATTTCATAGCTATACTACAATTTTTATATAATATATAGAGGTTAAATTTCAAGGTATACCATGAACTTTTAGGTTGGTATCTCAGTTATAGTTTTTTGAACTATAAAAAGTGTTTAGTAGAACGCTAAACTTTCAATTTTGTATCTATTAGGTCTTTGACCTATGATTCAACATTTTATAAAATTTACGGACTTATTAAATATAAAATTGAATGTTTAGAAATTTAACTCACACTTTTTAAATTTTTTTTACACCACTTTGTAAAGTTCAAACACTTATTATAAGACACAACCTAAAAAATTTATAAACTAAATTTGTAATTTAATTAATTTTAATAAATAATACCAGTATAAGACGTTGGTCTACAAATTTAGCTTAGAAACGCTTTAAATACATAATTAATTGAAGTATTTACCTCAATTGAGTTGACAACGTATTCCGACAGCAGCGCAATGAGGATTGTCATTCCTATAAGCCATGCAAATGCACTCCCGAATCCAATCACGGCCTCTTCATCAGAAACGACGTCGTCGTCACCATCCTAAGTTCAACAACACAATTGCAATAATTTTCTAAAAAGTTATGTGAAAATATATTTGGATTAACTTCTGAGTTCTGATTAATTTTAGAATGCAAAAATTATTCTCAAATAAAAATCTAGTCTGCAGTAATCAAATTAATTTATAATCACTTTTTCAGACGATTACATAAAGTTAATTTTACAAAAAAGGAATTACAAATAGAAATTTTACATTTATGTAGAATTCACTTTTAAATACTGACCAAACAAATTTGGGGATTAAAATTACTTTTCGCAACTAAATACACAAGTATCTTAATTAAAACATTTTTATTCAGGAAGTTTCACTGTTTTTCTTAAGTCATTAAATTTAGAAAGTATGTCAAACTCATTCTAAAAATTAAATGTAATACTAAAAAAATGAATGTAATGGGTGTGACATCATATAATTGCATATATGACAACAACCAAAACTATATATGTATATAATGTGGTTGATAATCAACCATAAATAATTATTTTTATTTACAATATTATTATTTTGTCTTTTTCGGAATATTTACAATATTATTATGGTGGTTGTATTTTGGTCACTATCTCAACAACTTGGGTTGCTATCCAAAACAAATTGCTACTCTAAATGGTAGATTTTCATAGCCACACACTAAGTGAAGCAACAGTCAACTTTCGTTGCTACCCACAATAAATTGCTATAATGGTAGTCGATTTACAACCACAGTGAGTAGCTAATTCAATAGCCAAAGTTTTGTTTCTATTTAAAAAGATAGCGTCACAACACATCAACTTTTTAATTACTCCAAAGGACTATTTTTATAAAAATATAGGACTCCTTCCATAACAAATTCTCGTTTATTGCTTTTTATTTCTATCTTTTGGTAACTGTTATTGTTTCTTAACTATTTTTTGTTTTTAGTTTTTTTTTTTAATTTACAAAACTCATATTAAATATTAAAATGAATATAATATAAAAATTTTGAATATTTAATTTAAAAATAATTTATTTATAAAATATGTTATTTTTTCTATTTCAAAAATTTAGAGAATGAACAAGAAGAAAGGATTACCAACCAGAAACAATTTATTAAACACAATTCTATTTTTATTTATTAAAAAATAGAAAACAATAAACAAAAAAAATTATTAAAAGGGCATGAAATAAAATGTAAATCGTAAGTTGAGGAAGATACTTGGAGTTAGGAATTTTCGTACAGACGAAAAATGTTATTCTTTAATTAGAGAGAAAAGTTTAAAATTAATATTTTAATATACGGGGTTTCTCTATTTTTGTTCCGCCCAATTAGAGATATAATTCAATGTTTTAATATGATTTTTTCATATTATATTTTTGGGTGGGGGAAGAAATTAAAGTTTATCACGGCGGCGCGTGGCCATACCTCTTCAAATAACTGGCGGTGAGTCCAGAGCTGGAAGACCAAATAAGCAATGTAAGCGGAGAGCATAACGATGCTGCTGGCTCTGGACAGGTGGAGGGTGGAGGCGGCGGCGGTGGCGGCGGAGGAGGCGGCGTAGCCAAACAATAACGGCAACAGGTGGCACAGTAATGAAAGCATCAGCATCAGTGCATTGACATCGGCTTGCCTCTGTTAAAATAAACAAGAACAAGTAATTAATTATTGGGTTAACTTAAACTTTTTTGTTTTCTCAAAAAAATAAAATAAAAATTTAATCAAAACTTTGACCACAGGACCTAATGATAGGAGTATTAGAAAAACCCACTAATGATTAGCAATAAATACGCAAAGAAAAAACCTTTAAGTACCGATTTTACCCTTCCCACTCTCCAATCTGTTTGCTGACACCGTAGGAAAAAGAGAAGGGTAATTTAGACATTTTACTTAAAATGTCAACCAATTTAAGTAACACCAGCTAAATCGACCAGTAAAATACTCAACTTCTCCCAATGACTTGACTCTAACAATATTTAAATATTTAATAATTAAGAGAAAAATACAAAAATAGATAATTTAAAAAAAAATAATGACTCGTTCATTTTTTTTTGGTGGTCCTCAATGGTAAGGAGCCAAAAAAATTTCCCAAATTTTCTTTTATTAGAATAGAGAAAAGATAAATTCTTTCATCAAAAAATAACCAAAATTTCTTCTCACCCATTAAGAGAAAGTAAGTATTATTTCACTAAAGTAGAATTATTGGCAAGTGTCATAACTTTTGTCTTCAACAAATCGATCTATGTTATTTTTAAGGAACCTATATATAACTTATTGATTGTGAGTTTGAGTCCCTATTTCTACCTGTTGTATAAGAAATTTGAAAGAGAGAGGAGTTACCCTGTCGTAATTCTGCTCGGTTCTCATATTTGCAATGCCACCGCAGAAGAGAGAGGTTCCAAGGACAAGAAGAAGGTTTGAAAGAACAGAACCCAGAAGAGAATACTTCACCACGTCTATCTTTCGTTGAGTAAGTGCAAGAATTGCAATTATCAATTCTGTCGCATTTCCACACGTTGCATTCAAAAGCCCCCCAACTACACCAAAAAAAAAATAGAAAAACAAATAAATAATTTGAATTTCAAAAAATAAATACATTAATTATACCCTAATAAATAAAATTTAGCTCGAATATCCATAAATTATTATTAATTCTAGCAGTTCGAATTCAAAATCATCTTATTTTAACTTTTTGCAAGAAAAAAAAAATCTTTTTGTACAGTGATCTCTCCCGTGAGTGGCAAAGATAGCATGCATGCAATTGTCAGTTATCATGTGGTTGTGAATAAAAATAAACATATAAAATTAAAAAAGAAAAAGAAGATGGGTTGTTTTGTTCTTCAAACCACAAATTTTAATAAATATTTATTTAAAAAGTGAAAAAGTGATAAATTAGGGTATTTAATTTTTGTACTATTTTATTTTGATTATAATAGACAGAATAATTAGTACCTGTTGGACCAGTGAAATAAGCGATTTGCCTTCAGGAGAACAATAAAAGAAAGTAAATTAGAACAATGGAAGAATAATTAATGATTTGATGTTAATTAAAAACAAATAAAAATGCTAATAGAGGCTTACTCGGTGAGGAAGCTGACACGTTCGGCCAATGGCGTGAGGCCAAGCAAGCTCAAAGCGAAAACCCAAGGCTGGTGTTAGAAGAAAAACAAAAACAAAAAACAAAATTAATTTAATCTTAAAAAAAAAAAAGAAATCTGTTGAGAAACGACATGTAGTTTTGCACGGGTTCTCACTCTTCCAAAGCGAAAGATTTGAGCGATAATAGCGAGGGGAATGGCGGGGAAGAGAATGGAGAGCTTAGTTCCCAAAATGACCTCCTGGAGGTTGATGAGGAAGTTGCGGAGGCAGGGGAAGCGGATCTTGGAGACGAGGGTTAAATCGGACTTTTTGCGGAGGGAGGAGGAGGACATGTTGTGGGCGGTTCGACCGTGGCCATGGCGGCTGTCTTTGGTCAAGCGCTTGAGGGTTCCGTTTTCGAGCAGCCATGGCTCTGTTTGGGTTTGGGAAGCCATGGTTATGGCTATGGTTTTGGTTGCAAAAGGCAGAGAAAAGAGAGGAATTAGTGGGCGCTGTTGGTCTCAGATGTTTCTTGAGAAATGGCGGTAATGCAGCATTTATAGAATGGAACTCGTTGGATGACTACAGTACAAATTTTGAATCTTCCACGAAGCTTCGCACTCGGCTCAGCAAATTGGCTTGGTTCGAGTCGGTTTTTTTCTTTTTTTATTTTTCAAATTCGAGGTTGGAACTTGAACCGCCTATTGTTTCAAGAAATAATATGCGTATTTTTTGTGTATAATATTAAGTTTAAAATTTTGTAAAAGTTATATAAATTGTAAACTTATCCAATTACATGAGAAAAATCAAAAACTTGGGATAATTTTTGAAAATAGTATAAAGTAATGATTTTTATAATTTCGTATTTACTTTATGACATTTTAGTATAATTTTCCAATTGGATGGACAATATTTTACTATAAGCTCATGTCATTTAGTGCTCTTGACGTAGTTTTTCTATAGAGCATGCTTTCTTTTTTCTTCTTTCAAATTTGTTGGATTTGATGTCGTGTGTCTTATATTAGTGGAATCCTATAATCGAGATTCATTGTCTATATTGAACAATGCTGTAATCGATACAAGACTCGAACATATAACCTCATGGTAGGTAATACTATGATATTCAAGTTTGATGTGATATTGTTTTCTTGTTTTTTGTTTTCCATTCTACAGCTAGATTATTAATCACATTATGCAATAATTTGGCATCAATTATCCCTTATCGCACCCTTGACAATTTTTCCACTAATATTTTTTAACTACTCTGAGCAAATAAAAAAATAATAAATTTCTATTCCAAGAGCTTCTATAGTAATATATTTTTTAAAAACATGTATCTTTCAAATATAGCTTTGGTTCCCTTTAATTTTAAATTTTAGAGATAAATAAAGATGAGAAATGGTAACTAAAAGCATTGTTCTAATTTTTTATACACACCAAATGTGTCGATTTCTAGGTGAGGTCTGCGTAGGTGCCACTTGAGTGCCACATACGTCTTGGTCTCCACTTGCCTATTACCTGTCCACATATAAATCTGCATCAGTGTGGTGTTTTGTCGAATGCACTTTGATGTTTAAGTTAGAAATCAAGTAAAAGACAAACATGTATGAAGCATAAAGAATAAGAGAGCATAAATCTCGAGGATAAGAGTCTACTAGAGATCAGTATATGTCGAATCCTCACGAGGAGTTGTATAGAAAAGACCTACCTTCTTTTAGGGTTAGCATCTTTCTTTATGTAGGAGGTTGAGAGTGGATTGCCTTGGGAGATCTCCACTCCCTAGGGCGTTTGTAGGGGAGAGGCATGTGTTGCACTAGGGATCTGTGGAGACCACCAACATCCTCTGTTTCCCCCGTGTCATTCAGATGATGGGCTCGGCGGCGTCYTATATGTTCCTCTTGAGGCTTGCAACGGTTTGGGTACAGGATGTCAACACTCTGTCCACACAACTGGCTATCCATCATACACGATCATCAGGAGTGCTTGGCCCCATTTTTGGTACGCTCGAGCTCTTTCCAATACGCTCAATCGTGCCAGGTTGGTTTCCTGACCCGATCCAAGTGACCTAATTAGTTGGTCTTATGATACGTGGTGGGTTGTTTTTACCAAATAACACTGAAAAAACATGAAAATAGTTACTAATTTAAATAATTTCTACTCTTCTTTCTTAAAATATAAAAAAATTATAACAGAACATATATATAAAATAAGAATTAGAGAATCTTACTATTTAATCTTACTAAAGTATAGTGTCATTTCTTAAATAAATCAACTAACATTATAGGGGATATATTTTTCAAGAAATATATTTAATGTTGCTGTCACAATATAACTGTGGCTTTCATAATTATTAGATACACGATTAAAAGCTTTTATACCCTATTACATATTCCGCGCATGTAATAACAGTTAGATTGTGTCGATCATGCTTTTATAAATTTATCACTTTCAACAAAGGTGAACTAAGGACGAAAAAAAAAAAACTAAAATCATAACTTCATTTGACTCATAGGTTAAGTGGCAGTCAATTTAATTTGTTTATCACGCAATAATTAATTTATCACTTTTTCTTTCTTTTTTAGTACAATATATAGGGTGGAAATTGAACTCTTGATTTGAGATATATGTCAATTACAGTTAAATTATGTTCGCTTTGGCAAAATAATTAATTTATCATTTTCAATAAATGTGAACAAATGTATTTGATTGTGATACAAATTTGCTCATCTTTGTTGAAAATTAATTTATCATTTTTAATAAAGGTGAATAAATTTGTATCACAATCAAATACATTTATTTATGATGATACCAAATTAATATTGTTTTATTTAGAAGAGTTTCTATAAAATTAAGAACGGAAATATATTTTTTTTAATATGAAGATTTGCTCACAATCTCTTGAATAGAAATAAATGTCTTAATTAAATTAGGTTAGTATCACAAGTTAAAAAAAAAAAAAAAGATAAATGTTAGGAAACTAGGGTCAGCTTCTTGGTGGCAGGAATGGAAGTTCACAACCACCATAAAACTTTCCAAGTTCATAATAACTAAAAATAGAAAAATCCATTATATTAAATTTGTAGCCAAATAAAAAGGATGAATGTAGATTGATTTAGTTTGCCATGCTTTAATCCAAATTAAACCAATTGATTCATTTATCATATAAATTGAACGAAGCTATTCAAAGAATTTATTTGTTGAGAAATTGGATTACTCCCGGTAAATTTAGTTTATTTGTGTTAGGAAATGGAAAATGAAATGACACATGAACCAAGTAAAATAGTTGATTATAGGTTGAGATATGAAGTCTCGAACCCATTTTTCGAAGAGAAATATCTCGATCTTAATTGGCAGCTCTGCCTGTACCTTGGCCTTAAATTGATAGTTCGAGCATGGAGTACCTCAACCTTAGTTGATAGCTCGGCCAAGGATGTGAGCTATATCACAAACTACTTTTCAACCATGTTTCCAACAATACACCGGAGATCGTGGTACGTTTATAACCGCGCGATAAGTGAGACCCACCAATCTACCCATATAAATATAAAATCTCACTTCATACACAAGTATGCAACTTTGATTCCTTGTCTTCAGAGCGATAAGTCGGATTGATACTAACTTGAGTGTCGAAGTGTCTATTCTATTTGTGCAGGTTTTTCCTTGCCTACTTCGTTCTCTAATAGGTAGGCTCATTCAATAATTATAATCAAGGTTAGAATTCTACATCAACTAGCGATATATACCTCATATAAGTATATTATTCATACAGCGCAATTGAAATAGTTTATATTTATTTATTATTTATTTTTAATGATATTTATTTCATCTTGATGTTTGTATTATCAAATACTTTAATTATTGGTTCCTAAATTTTACATAAAAGTTCATTGGATCCTTATTACTGCTGATTTTTTTTTTCTATTGTGTTTAATAAAAACCTATGTAACACTAGGTAAACTTGTAGTTAAGTCATAATTATCAATTCTGATATAGAATTTGAAATTTTTTTCTTTCTTTTCTTAATTAATATTTTGTTAATTAAATACAATACAAATTTTTTTTAATATAATCAACGAATTATTTACAAAAGTTAAATCTAAAAAAATTATTTCAATTAACCTAAACATATCTCAACCATCAAAACATTAGTATCTAGCTGGATTATCCAAATAATGACTGAAAATTGAGAATATTACCCGATACTCAAAATTTTGAAATGCACCCCAAAAAATTATATGAAAATATAGAGTTTCAATATACCGCAAGCATTCTTTCCAAAATATATAGAGAGAGAGTTTTTTTAAGTACAAAATGTGAAATGGAGTATCGAACTAGCAGCATCTTCATTTGAGATATATATCAATTACCACTGAATTATATTCTATATTTAACATTTCAATATACTGTAAGCATCCTTAAAATAAATAAATAAATAAATATTATATAATATATATACATACAGAAGAGGCAAATATCTTATCACCATCATTATCAATGTGTCACGGTATCGCCTGATAATAATGAGAATAAAGGAAATTTCGAGGAAGTTTCTTAAGAAACGACCCCTCAAACTCAATCATATATATATTTTCCCTTCGCTTCATTTCCTATCCTTAAAAAAAACACTAAAATATAAAATCGTACCACCCCATTTTTTGGACTCACTGAATTAAAATGGTTACTACATGCATGTTATTGTCATTTAAAATTTTGAAAAAATGCACTCTAAAATCAAATAATAGTTCAAGATAATTTATAAAATAATTAACCGTTTATGTATTTTCAAGAGGTTTATTTTAGACCGGGTACTTTCAACTTTAGTTCATTTTAGTCTCCATACTATCAAAATTGTTCTGTGTTTTTAAAAAGTGACCATTTGACCCCTTCATCTTATTTTTCAACCTTAATTTTTTTATCACAATTTCAACACGACACTATATTCAATATATTTCTTAAAAGGTAATCATGATTTTATATTAAAAAAAATTTCATTATATGTAGAATTTGTATTAAAATTTTGAAAATAGGGACCAAAATAAATACTTTTTTTTTTAAATTATAGAGACAAAAATAAATATTTTGAAAATATAAAGACTAAAATGAACCAAAGTTGAAACTACATAAACTAAAGTGAACATTTTGAAAGCAAAGAGATGAAAATGAACCAAATAGCGTATGATAAGTTAATATACAATTTTTTTATAAACAATTAAGTCTAGTACACCGTTTTTTACTTCGTATTTTCTCAAATATTATGATGAGTCTACATAGATGGTATATGTTATCTTTATTTGGACATATCGTTCTTGTGTAAAAGATTGGGTTTCTTTTCCTCAAGTATTGTGGGAGAGATCAAATTGATGTGGGACTAATGTATGCATTCCTTATATAATCAATATTGATCGGAAAAAAAATAACACTCTCGTGATTTGAATATAGTCTATAAAGCATTTTTTGTTTTGATATCATGTGATATAAGCATTGAACTCAAAAGTTTGAGTGAATTATTAATAATTGATTGGAAAAGTAATAGTACGGGGAGAATTTGAAGATAGAAATATAGTTTTAATATAATGTGAAATCACTACTAAGTAAAATAACTTGACATATTTTAATACTTTTAAAATTTTGTCTTTTTTCGTCGTTAATTACTAATTATCGAAGTTATAGAGTCTAAGTCAAACATCGTTTTATTTGATTTTTTTTGGATAATAAATTAATAATGGGATTTCGAGCTGTTTACAATTAACCTATGCAACTTGTACGCAGTGCGTTTGGAAGTAAATAAAATAATCATAAATTTTTTTATTAACAAAAATCAAATTGAAAAAATAAGTGAATTAAAAAATAGTTATGGATAAACCATTAGTTTGAATTGTTTTGGTCGGCCGATTCCTTGGCAATTTAAAATAAAATGATATCAGCAATTTAAAATAATCAAACAAAAATATGGAATTCATCCTCATTTACACCCACGAAAAATTACACTGATCTTTCAACTCCCCTTACTTTCATTCAATCTCCAAAATTATAAAAATTAAATTAAATAAAATAAAAAAGGAACTCCAAAATTTTCAACCCCATAAAGCTATTTTTTTTTTAAATAAAATTTAAATATAAAACCAATAAATGGTGAGAGTTGAAAGTATTATCAATAGGTCAACCGAGAGGGTTTTTTTTTTTTTTTGGAAACAAAACAATTTGCATTATAAAGCAGCTTATAATTAAGATACTTTATGTTAAAAGCAATTATTTTTGAAGCTCTCTCAAACACTCCCTTAAACATCATAAACATCATAGATTTAAATTCTCCTCCTACCTTTAATTACCACTCGTTGTTTGAATTCGTACATAAAATACATTTGTTAAAAGTAATTTTTCTAGAAACACTCGTTAAATACGAGAGAGCTTTGAATTCTTACTCACAGATCTGATCTCTTAACCGTTGTTTTAATTCAATATGTAAAGTATTCTTACTAAGAATAATGATTCTAGAAGTACTCTCATACACACTTTAAACGTTAAAGAGGTTTTGAATCCCCACTCTACTGATATCGACCACACCCGTTATATATAAATAACAATTATTGAGATTTGAAGAATGTTTGTTTGTTTTTTAGTGGGAGATATGGGAATCACATGGTTTGGGCAATAAAAAGTTGGTTGTCTTTGGCTCCAAACCAAACGGGTCCTCACCTCTTCCTCATGGCTCCCCATTTGCTATGTTTTTCTCTCTCTCTCTATTTGTCATCAGAATCATAAATCATATAACTTTTTAATAAAAGTTTAGTCTTCATACTTTAAAAAAAAATATATTATTGACATTGAGAATTATAAAGGGGCATTGCAATTCAAATAAAAAATAGTGATTTAATTATGAGACCTGTAAATTGAGTTGTCACGTGGACCACTCCTAAGAGACCACGTGAACTTGGGGTTTGAGCTCGAGCCACCGAGTCAAGGAAAAAAATTTGGTGTTGCGAGACTAGCAGGTCAGCTCTCGACTCATTCCTTGAGTAGAGTTTGTCGGATGAGATATCTACTAAACATTGTGTAGCCAAAGCGTATCTTTTTGTTGGTGGAAGATCCTCTTTCTAACAAGAATATATTCTAACCACCAAAGTTCGCGTCCTCAAATCTCTCCCTAGAAAAAATGGAGTAAAACGTTTCTCAAATATGAAACATCTTGCATTAAATCTCTAGCTGGTCACTTTTGACTCTTCTAACCTGAATTCTAATTTAAGTTTTTGAGAAAGTTTTGGTTGAGCACTTGATTGCTTCAAATGACTAAGTCTCTCTTGTGTCAATTCAGATCGATGAGACTTCTGGAGCAAACTTACCCAATCGTATTACATCATCTAGAATCAAGCACCAACAAGTTGCATTCAGGAGGAGTATAACAACRCTAACTAATATATAAATACGTTATATCCCATTCTAATTAATTGACTTAGTAAACACAATTTTCCCATCAAAATAAAAGAAAGAAAATTTCTTACTGTTGAGTCACTTCGACGGGCAATTAAAACGTACCAAGTGGACTAATACTAAAAATATAGTTCTATTAGTTCTAATTTTGCCTCATTCGCCTAGTCGTACTTCAAATTAGTCCATTTCTCGTACGTTCTAATTGCTACGTGGCACCAACTCCAACATCAAATAATTAGTTACAACTCTCCCTCACAAAATCTTAAATAAATAGTATAATTTCTTAAAAAGAAAAAAAAATGGTCGAGTTTCTGGGAAGCTTCGTATTCCCAAATCAATGGTTTTGGATAATATAGAGAGAGTTGGAAGAAATTGAAACCATTTCAAAGAAGACAAAAGGGTTGCATGTTACTTACCACTTTTCCTTTGCCTACCATATAATTAAAAACCCTATCCCATGAACTCTTACATATTTCCTTTTTTTTTTTTAATTATTATTATTAAATCTGTCATTTCAAAAATAGGTCGAAATTAATTAAGTTATTCAATAATTGGGTTGAAATAAGTTAAAAATTTTTTATTTAAATTCAATTGTTGAATGACTATGAGTTTGAATCATTCAATTAAATGGTTGAAAAGAATTTCGAATAAGGCCGTGAGGATTTCAATCATGCTCATCTTTATAATAATGCAAACAAACTATTTCTAATTGGTATTAGTCAAATTTGATAATTTCACTTTGGCATGTAATTACTTGAGTTTGTGTGGCTAAATTTTCCTTCACAAACAGTTTCTACTCATGCTATATTGTGAACTCTTATTTCAAAAACTTGAGCACAAGTTTTTCTCCATGTGATTAGTCATGCCTCATTATCTTGCATAAAAAGTGATAAATCTCAACTCGATTATTATAAGTGTAAGACCCACCTAATAATGTCCCGATAAAATATTTCAAAAATCTTGTTTTCCAACCTATATTCCATATACTCTATTATGGATAATATTTAGATAATTATCGCTAAATAGATATCATTTTATTGACCACCATAAAAAAAAATGGCCGACAGTTATATATATATTTATTAGTACAACATGTGAGAGTGGAATATCGAATTCGTAACCTCTTGGTTGGAGATATATATCAATTACCGTTGAACTATATATGCTCACTTTGACGGTAAGTAGTTAAATATTATTCTTTGATTATTGTACACAAAATGACATAAATTTTACCTTCCATTTTCAAGAGTACCCATCTCGACAAAATTTACAACATTACCTAAAATGAATGGGTTATTAATTCTCAGTCCAATATCACTTAACATGATTAAAACTCATGTATAAAACCAACATGAACTTCACAAATAGAAGTTAAGTACTAGTAATTGTGGAGACACGTTGGATTTGATTTTCCCTCGACTTGAAACATGGTAGCACACATGTGACGTCTAACTAGAGAGGAGGGGTATATGGATGAACCGATACCAATCTGAATGAGAGATGAATCTTAAGATCATGAAAGCATGATTAAGAAAAACGTAAAAAAATTGATAGTCACTACTAATATTAACAAGATGCACCACTTTAAAGTTAAGCGTGTTTGACTTGGAATTTTCTTAGAAAGCATGTGAGTGAGGACAAGGTCAAATATATCGGGATTCACTACATTCAATCCTTACTCCAAATACCATTCTCATCACTATATCCCAAAGTACCACACATTTTATGCATTATTTAATATCCAAACTCTTTCATTTATCAATCACAATATACGTATACTAACTCGCTCTCTTTGAAAAACACCAAACGACCCATATTTAAACTTACCACTCCACACCAAACTCCTCCTTCGAAGATTTTGGACGTGAATCGTTATGTGGCTAAATGCGAAGCCACTCGATTTCATGAAAATATCTTGATCACAAATGAGAGTGATTTGATTGGGAGTCAGAGCTCCCTTAACGAGAGTACCAAAAAAAGTTTGGCAATAATTCTATGAAACGAAACTTCATTGAAGATTCGTTTATCACAGTACAGTTTTGAATTGTTGTGATAATTATAAATATGAGGAAATTGAAGTAAGAGCTGAAAATGTCCTTGTTTTGTCCGTACAAGGTCGGTTGTGAGGTTGGTAATTGGCAAACCGCAAAGTACTCTAAACAAGGACACTGACCAAAGCCTTTGCTTTCAGCCATACGGAATTTTGTATTTTTCCCCTAAAGTTATCAAAAACTGATATGTGCCCTTTTTTCTTTTTTAAACGCTCGTGATTTCATTTTTAGTTTCAAATAAAAAGTGTCATAGTTCGAACTAATCAAATAACCTTTTGATTAGAGATAAGTGTCTTAATCACTTGAGTTATGCTCGATTTGACGTTTAATTGATAAAGTTTAGTTGGCGTAAAGGTTTGAATTTTCTCACATCCACGAATGTATTTACAGCAGGGAAAAATATAATTGAAAATTTAAGAAAATCTTATTGCTAACTTTTAGCTTTAAATTCTGGGCACAGTAGGGGAATGCTGCTGCTTCTTTTCAATTGCATTTCTTTAACGGTAGAGTAAAAAACTAACCGTCAATTTGAACGTATAGCTCAACTAATTAAAATACTTATTTTTAAATAAAATGTTGTGAGTTCGACTATCCACTCCATATTAGTCAAATGCTGCTATTTTAAAGTTTATAGACTAAATTTACGATTTAACCAATATTCTTCCAAATTATTAAAGAACCTCAAAATTAAAAATAAAATAATAAATAAATCGGTCGTGAGCCCAAAAATTGTGGTCGCGTTACTACGTGTCTCGTTAGGCTGCAACACGTGAAGGGACGACACCATGATCACTGCGTCGCTTTCTGCCGCAAGAGATCGGATCCACGATGACCTCGGCCGACTTGTCGGTTGTCATATTGAGTGTGGGGCTGCCAGCTACATGTCGTTTGTGGATAATAATTGCTTACGTGGAGATCTGAATCTTTGCCGCAAAGATCACAGAATATCCGTACAAGATGAGCATCACAAGAGGCTGCCACGTGGACGTCTTTATGGGTTCACATCATGTGAGGTGTATCCCCTTGCAATTTCTAAGAAGTTTCGCCTGTCGACGTCACACACCGGTTTTCTAAAAAAACTCAAATTTATTTCGTTTCAAGTGAGAAATGGATAGAATTATAATTGGGTTTGATTAATTTTTGTTCTAAAAGAATTTTCAATAATTATAATAATGGTTCTATTCTATCGAAAAAAGTTTACAAATTTATAAGTGCTAAATATGTTCATCTTTGAGGCTATTCTCAAGTTATTTTTTAATGTTTTAAATTCTCAAATTTCATACTTAAATGTTTTAAAAATTCTCAATGAAGTCATTCTAATTATAAAAAAACTAAAATTTATTTTATTAATATATCTGAACATGAACATGTCTATTGAACTTAAGATTTTTGACAGTCAAGTAGAAATCCTTTTTTTATGAAAGTTAGACAAGCTAAAATTTATCTATGGAGGTAGATTTCATATAACATTCAAAGAGATGCACACTTGTCTAAATATATTGATAAGAGAATAATTTAATAATAATCACTTCTTGCTCACAAAATTTAAAACATTTTAATACAACGACCTAATCGAGAATTTTTAATACATTAAAAGTAAATTTAAAATTACTTGAAAAATTAGGGACCTTTGGTATAAATTGCCATTTATAAATAGTTACCTAATAATTTTAATACCCTTTTACTGTCACTAATTTTAGACTATATGACATATTTGCAGGGACCAAAATTATTAATAAAATAATAAATTAAATACTGTAATACAATTTTGATCCTTAAAGTTTATCTCTATTATTAATTAGGTTTGATGTCTACTTTAGTTCATAAAGTTTTAATAAATTCTACATTCAGTTTCTATTGTTACAACCTTTCACAAAAAAGTAACCTCTGCTTTGATCTTTTAACTTTTTCCATATCTAATTATTGTATCTTGGCAATATATTTTCTCAATTTCAATACATAATATGTCAATTTTTTTAAATTCACAATATATTAATACCATCATTTCCATATCTAATTATAAAATGGTCGTTAATCAACAATGAAATAGATCATATTATTTTTTGTTGATTATGGTAAGGATTGAATTTAAATTCAATCAAACTTGAGAGATTAATACAATTTTAAGATCTATATTTAAAAGAAAAGTAAACTCTAGGGACCGAAGCCATATTTAAATCTAAATAATTATGATGGGATTAAATATAAGCCAGACCAAATGAAAAAAAAAACTCTCATATAGACACCAATAAATGTGTGTGTGTGTGTATACATATATATATAGATAATACCTGATTTTGGAAAAAAAAATTATAAAGATATCTAAAAATAATTGGATAGCTTTGTTAAATTTAGAGGATAAATTAAGTTGCCTCAAAGAATGAAAGTCAATGTTCTAATTTCTTACAAAATTAAAGTGATTAAAAACTTTCTTCTATTAGGTGACATAATTTTTCCCTTAAATTCTTGTCAACGAAATATTATGTCTTATAAACTTATCATCAATTAATTTAAACAATCATCATCAATTAACTTAAACATTCATCGGTGAAAATGATATAATTAAAAACTAAAAGGCAAGGAACTAAATTAAAAAAATTTAAACAATAAGAACCAAATTGAAAAAAAACTCAAATATTAGATATCAAAACATATATTTAGCCTTTCTACTTTTCCTAGTAATTTTATACGTTGTTTTGTGAAACAGATTATTTTACATTAATTTAAAAAAACATATAAAATAATAAGTACTAAAGATTAATTTCAATTCAACCTATTATATTTAGCAGATTGGAAATTTAGAAAACTTCTTAGAGGAATAATATCCAATGTATGTTTATTAAAAAAAACACTTTGATGGAAAATTATATATTTGTGATAACAAATATCATTAAGAATCATCCTTTTAAAATATCAAGTTTTAACACTCTTACATTATAGAATATATTAATGTATTCATTAATGAATAAAAACACAACTAGATTTCATCTTGTTCATTAGTAGGTGTGGATGATAATAAGGTTAGACAAGAAAACGTCATTTCACAGATTGACAAATACCTAGAAGAATGGAATCTTAAAAACTCATCCTTTCTTAAAAAATTCAAAATGGCCTAGAAGAGGCATTCTAACCACTATCTTTTTTCTTTTTTATAACTCGGAGTCGGAGCTTTATTCCCCTATACCTAGGGACACCCACATCCGCTCCAAGGCCTTGACCTGGAAGACATCAAGGATTTTTGTATCAAGCTCACCATAACGTCCAAACTTGAGACCTCTAATTCTGATAATCAAGAGACCTAAAGTCTGCCCAACTAGGAAGAATCCCAACTATCTTGAGATTACAACAATCCAAGCACGAGTGTGAATGCCCATATAATAGGTATCTTGAATCTCCAACCAAACAAATGACCCTCTTAAGGCATATCAAACGACACCTTAATGTGGATTTGGGATGATTATGAAGATAATCAAAGTACTTAATAACTAAAAGTAATTTAGTGTTTCCGTGTTCTTTTGAAAAAGATCTAGCACCCCTACGTCATATATATGTTCAACCATTCAATTTCATAAAAATATCAATGTAATAACCAAACATGATAAAAATAAAATAAAAAAATAAAAAAATTACCCCATAGACTTGATGCAGTATACGCGGGACCCCACATGTTTTACTTCAAGACCAGCATTTTCGCAGCCAGAGAAGAAGAGCAACTCATCCTCCTTTCCAATTCTGCGCCTCCAGCTCATTAGACACATTGGCTGTGCACCAGTCTCTGAAAGTACACACGAGCCACAAAAAAAATATATATATAACTTCATACCATGCCATGTATAATCATAAAACTTGCAAGATTGGTATTACCATCACTTCCAGTGGCAGGCAGGGAAGCTATTTCCTTACAATCTTGCTTGAAATTGTACGATTTGAGGAGAAATGAGAGCGTTTTTATCAAGTTCGGATACTGTTTCACATCTACAAGGCGAGAAATTAATATATTCCTTAGGATATTTAAATTTGGCACATTTCTTTGTAACCAAATGTCATGAGTTCAAACAAATGTCCCAAAAAGAAAGTTGGGCGATAAAAAAAAGAAGAATCTGAAATTTATCGTTTACTACTTATAATGACACCATTCATCTACCCTCGAGACACTCTCTCAACAGAGGTCACCTAGCATTTATTATGTTAGGTACCCGAATACAAGATCCTAACAAGAACACTATATTGCAATACGAAAGAGTAATTACAATACCGATAGCCTTTCGAGAGCTCTATCTCTCTCCCAAGAACTTTCTCAAGTTCCTCTACAAAAATACTATTCTCCAAGATATTCTACTTCTCCCTTACTACCCATATTTATAACCAACTTACCCCTAACTAATTACCCTATTGCCCCTTCCCTAACATACTAATACTACTCCCTATATACCTCTATTAAGACTCTCACATATTACCTGAAGGTTGAAAAGTCCTATTAAAAATGAAAAAATCTACAATTTCAATTTTCAAGTAGATTCTAACCCTAAAACGAATAGGTTGGAGAAATACATTTTCAATCCTTCTTCACTCGTGGACTCAGATATTAACACGAGACTAAAACGTAGATCACTAATATAAATGTTCGCGTTAATAGTCGCCATGGCAGTCTTAACAGTGTGAAACGCCAGTTTTATGATGGTCTTTCAAAATGTTCCCATGCGGACCTAAACATACTCAAAGTTTACCTTAGTTCCATTCAGCAGATTAAAATCTAAACAGAACAACATTGGATAATTCTAAGAACTAGAAAAGGCGGGAAACAAGAAAGAGAGGCTTAAAATTAAAAGAGATGATAGACATGGGACCTTATAATCTGCAAAGATTCTATGCAGTGTAACATCATAAAAATCTGAAGAGGAGACCCGAGTGTAACACCATAAAAACTAAAAATCTGAAGATTCTATACAGTGTAACACCATAAAAACTAAAAAGAACCAGCGGCAACCCTCTAATTCATGTAGCTCTAATTCATTTAATGAAAGTATATCAGTTTACTACTTTATGTCGCTCTAATTAATTTAATGAAAGTATAACAAATAACCCACGCAGAAAGAAAATGTTACATGTGAAAATTTGTTGACTTCCCATTTAGAAAACAACAAATTTCAGTGGTCCATAAACCAGTGGCATTACTATTACCTAAACACTTTGCTTTTTTCCCATCAAAACTGAGTTGATTAAATCATGGAAAATAAAGACAAGGAGCTTACACAATAAAATGTCACTGGCAATGACAAGGTCCCAGTCAGGATCACTAATTGGAAACTTGTCTCCCCATGTATCTGAAAATAAAAGATGAAAAAAATATATAGATAATGTCAGGAGTACGTAAATAACTTAAACCCCTTCAGACTGGACAAGTGCCCAAAAAAATTTAAAAGAAAAATCCCAAAAATGACAACTAACTACATAAAACTATTTTCTTGGCTGTTCCTAAAATACTAAAGAAAATGCTGAAATGTAAAAGCCAAGCCAAGGGGATATATGCTTCTAAAAGTCAAACGGGATGTGGCCTTAACTAAAGGATGAGTTTAAAGGTACATGTCACTTCAAATTCAGTTTTGTCAAATTAATGAAATTTCGTTCTGTCAAGTACTTCACATTAAAGATTCATTTGAGCCACAGCCATATTATCTTAGCACCACAAATCCTATCCTTCTGATATATAAAATAATTAGTCAATCTGAGACAGAAATTGAGAACTCACGCACGCTTAACGTGAGGAAAGGCGGGTGTAATTCCATTCACCCTGCAATTATATGCGATGTTCTCCTCAATTTCCTGATCATCATAGTCTGACGTTGTGATGTCAAGATTAAATGATTTTCGTAGAAATATTGCCAATGAACCAGTGCCACTGCAAAAACAAGTGCAGACATAATGGAAGGTGCATATATAGAAGATTATGGAGGCTATGCATAAAAAGAGACTAATGCATAAACGAAGATTAAGGTGCAAACAAGAAGATTAAGGAGACTGCACATAAAAGTGCAAGAGAGGGTCTTGGGAATTTGAAAACGGTTCCAACCTTATTCTATACTTATTCTATTTTGGTCCATTTAACTTTCAACCTTATCCTGACCCTTGAACTTTAGATTAAAAAAAACCATTTTAATCTTTATCGTTAATTTTATGTAAATTCATTCAATAGCAACTTGGCATGACATTGTTTTTTCTTTTTTATTCATTTACTTGTTAAGTAAATGTTTACGTCGACAAGCATTAGAAGCTATATGCAACAAGTCAAGTGCTAAAATTTGAAGATGAATGTGAGTTTTTATTACGTTGATTGACAAAAAGTTCTAATAGTAAAGAGTAAAATTATTTTATACAATGTCTTAAAACAAAAACAAAGTACTTGATTTTCAAATACAACACATTGAGGAATCAAAACGAATTATGAAGCGACCAAAAAATGGATACAAAACTTTGCAAAACTACAACATTTCATGTCGACTAGATGTAGAAACCAAAATGATTGAATAATTATACCTTCCCAATTCAATACATCTTCGTCCTTGTACCCAAGATGAGTTTTGAACCAACCAGTCTGCAAATGCAAATGTTCCTGGCCAGAGCAAATTTGCATTCAGCTGATGAAATGAAAACTCTCGAATGACCAACTCCTGCAGTAGTCCAGTGACGTCGCGTGAGAAAACAAAAAATCCCGAAGGAACTCTCAAACTAAACATCTACAACTGCCGTCAACATTCCAATTTGCCTTCTAGTTTACCAACAGAACTCCTTTTTAAGGAAATGCATCAGCCAACAAATTTAAACCCAAGAAACTTAGTTTTCAAGTAAAAAAGAAACAGCCCTTTTTATTTTCCATCCCAAGTTGAGCAATCCACTAAACTACATCCATTACCATACTCTTAAGAAAAAAGAACTTCAAGAAGAGAAACAGTACCATTCCAGGAAATTGATGCTTCCTTTCCTCGTAGCTCTGCTGCGTCTCTGAAGTTCCCTCATCTGCACAAACAGGGGGCGGATCCATATGCAACTTTCTAAGGCAATAAAATCCGAGCACGAGCAACAAACAGCAGAGAGAGAGAAAGGGGGAGTGAGTACCATTAGAAGATTCGTCCTCGTCGGGAAAAAGTGACGATGGCGAAAACAGAGCTATATCCATTTGCTTCTAACAATTAGCATATAAATAAAGAACCACAGGGAAATCCGGGTCGCGAATCGGAGCCGCGAACACAGAGTGAAAACTTCCTTGGCAAGCGAAACCGATGGAGCTCGAGTTTACTGCTCCGCGAACCAAATATGACTTAGAGTGGAAACAAACTTACTCGGATTTGCCATTACGATTTACGAGCGGATTGATGAAAACCTAATCAACTGCTCAGCAGTTCTCAAGCGAAACGACATGTCGACATGTCTTCGCGCCAACGACTACGAGACGGATAATAGGGCGACATGTCTATGTTCTACTCGTAAAACAAAATAGTAATATATAACTTCTCGGGGAAGAAGCCCCGTAGGCCCGTCTAGCTCAGTTGGTAGAGCGCAAGGCTCTTAACCTTGTGGTCGTGGGTTCGAGCCCCACGGTGGGCGTTTTGTTCTTTTCCTAAAAATTATATTAAATATAAATAATAATTTTAGATTCAATAACATGTGGGGCCATCTCAAGGCTCTTAACTTTGGGGTCATAAGTTCAAATCCCACGGTGGGCGCAATCCATTTTAATTGATCCTTATATTTTAATTTGGTTAAATATCTCTTTTTTCGATTATATATTACCATCAGTACAAAAGAATTTAATTAATTTTAAACTTAGTATACCTTGGCATGTGGGCCCATCTAGCTCAAGGCTCTTAACCTTGTGGTCGTGGGTTCGAGCCCCACGGTGGACGTAATTTTTACTTAAAATCTAACAAGCAATCTTGTCCTCCCCACCATATGTCAAATTTTGGTCCTCAACGTTAAGGAGGCATGTATTTTTCATAAATTAATATCAATCATTGATTTACATCTAATTTTGGAATATGAACATTTTCATTAGGTTAATGGGACCATCCTTCATTCATTCAGTCAATTTTGCTTCAATCAGTTGATGTAGTCAATTATTCTTCAATCATTTATTGGGGTCAATGTTGCTGTCAACGAAGAATCCCCGAAGCAAAATTACTCAACTAGACAAACATCAGTAACTTTCCAAATAATCCACCATGCTTAAATGGTAATATTTACTAAACATAGATTAAAATCAAGGCACAAGGGAAGCTTTTCTAGATTAAAATCAAGGCACAAGGGAAGCTTTTCTTCTTTAAATATTAAAACTATGGGAGTAGGAATAGGATGTAGAAAGGAAAACATGATATAAACAGCCAAACCCTTGCTTCTCTTTTCCAAATAGTTCACTAACACAAATTGAAGGTGGAAAATAAAAGCATAAATATGAAGTAGATGTGATACAACTATTCCTCAATTGGCTATATTACAAAGAAAGGCATTTCCTAGAAACCAGTTTTCGCATGTGCAAAAGAACCAACAATCCTTTAATTTTACATGCCTAAGCCAATGTTATAACACAAATCAAAGAAACAATACATACAAAAGCCTTTTAAAAGTACAAACAGTCAAGAAGCTGCAGCACCACTCACTATGTCATTTGGTATATTGTGACCACTGGGATCCGGATGTTTCCTGCCTGACTTGACAAGGTTCAACAATGAAAAACTCCACCAAACACGACCTTCAAAATCAAATTAATCTAAAAAAGATGACGAACGAGAGAGAATTTGTTGGCCAGGTCGGGTTTTCAATTTGTCGAGGCAAAACATACAATTTTTTACGAGGAAAGCTGGAACCTGCCAGAAGGCTTCTTTCTTCTCCATCCCTGAAAGTTTACATAACAAAGGAAATGCCACTGACATTAGAACCAGAAATTCGGAGTTAAAGCACAGACAAGTACATTAGTTTTGGAAGCTTACGAAGGCAGCATAATACACGAAGGTCAATCCCGCCAATGCGATGAATGCTATTTGGAACACATTATACCTGCAATGCAATCATGTGACAGCCAAGTTGAATTGCCAAATCAAAAAAGCAGATCGCACAGATTGGGGATCAGAAAAATCAGTATATAAAAATCTCCTCACTCACTTGTACAAGTATCTGATACCACGAAGAGACTGCAATGTGTGTCCAAATATTTCTTGTGCTGCAGTCGCTCGTGCATAATATGCAAATGCCGTGGAGCAGAACTGAATCACACTATAAAATAGAGAACAGACACTATAATCAATCAAAACAACTTGATTAAGGTACAGAGAGAGAACCTTTCTAGTTTCAGCCATATGTGACAACTCAATAACAGCTGCTTAACATTTAACACATAGTTCTAATTTTTAGTTTAGAGAAGATCTTAAATTCATCCAGCAGTGCCCCCAAAGGGACCTATAAATCAACAATTACTCTCATGCTGGTCTTCAAGAGAGCTCTGTATCCATACAAAAAAATTCAAGGTTTCGGCCTGCCTATCCCATTACACACAAACTAGAACTGCCTCTATGCATCTATGGCTTACAAATTACTCAATGTAGAAATGCATACTGGAAACAATTGGCCTCCTAGGAAAAAAGAATGTAAAAACCAGGCAGGTAGACACTTAGAATAGAAGTCAGTTACATTAGCACTCGTTTAAACTACAGTAATAAATCGGTGAACTGAACATTTGGTAGGGAGGACTAATAGGATTTTCAATGATATAATGAGAGAGTTTGCAGATCTTAAGAAAAGGATCTTTCTTTGGTGACTAGGTTCTGTTTTTCGAACAGAGAGTTCTGTAATTATTTCCCCTTTTTTATTAAGTCAATTGAAGAGATTTATGCAACTCCTTAAGGAGAGGGATGTGTGCCGTCATTCTCCCTTCCATTCCCTCTTTGTACATCCGTTTGCATTAATTATAGGTCCTTATCCAAATACTCACAAATGTGTCCCCGATTTAGTCTTCTTCATTGGTCAGTATTGGTTGGTCTCCAC